GCGTCAAATAAATTTACTATATTATACAGTAGTATAGCAGTAAAATAAATAAATATAGTCAGTCAGTCAGCCTCATGCGGGACCTGACTATTCAAAAAAAAAAAAAAAAAAAAAAAAAAAAAAAAAAAAGAGTCCATTATAAACACATTGAAACGTAAATACTGGAGTGGACAGCTCACCAGAGAACAAGTAGTTCAACGGATACAGGGCCAACCTCTCTCCATACAACGAATAATAGTCCCTGACTACATCGAGGAGCCGCGTATTGAGACAATAATAGCACTGTCAACGACTACATGGGCTGCGAGGATAGGAAGCACAAGCTGGAAGTGACAAGCAGCTGAGCCAGACCCATATCCAATGATAGACCACTGCAACAAATAGCGACCATCCCAGAAACTGCTCCATACTCGTTGCAGCCACAGGCCAGTGTCCACAGAAACCACAGGTCGCTTTTGCAGGACCTGCTACTTGACGAAGGACTGGAAAGAATAACGATTAGACTGGAACAGGAACTGGATGCAGACACTGCCATAGAGCAGCAAAGAACATTGACTACAGCTCCTCGAATACATGTAAACTCACTACAGAAGCACACACAGTTCTTGCAAATACATACATATCAATGTATTGCTAATATGCTGGACCATGACACGAGAAATATCCAGATGGCGCTGCACAGGAGAATTGCGTGACAGTGATGTAAAGCTTCTTGAGACGGCACAAAAAGCGGCAGCAACTCACCCAATGACCAGGGCGCCCAAGGCGACACTATCAGAGATTGCTAGGTGAAAGCGTGCCGTCCCTATTGCACTGGCCGAGAACTGGAGTAGAAGCCCTGGCTGACCCACATGGACTGCCCTTTGCAGCCTACAATCGGACTGGAACGCGTACTCCCAGTGCACATCTGCATAGACGTAACCATAGATGGAGTCTTCAACCTGGCCTGGTTGTAGTCACTACAAATGCGAGACGAAACCCAATGGGACCATTATCAAATATAAACCATAACTACTATAAATATCATTTCTTTATAGACTAACCCGACCTTACACAGCTGTGAAGGCCATCCTTGGTATATATGCCTACATCACGATGCTTGCCTTGCCTGAAGGATGCAGACGCCCTTGATCTGCAAAACACATTTGGCCCAAGGACTGCAGCCTCGCCTTCGGGTGTTTACGCCTCCCTGATGTCATGCTATGGCGCTGGGCTAACATAAGCCTGTAAATGGAAAAAGCTATAAGCATCAAAATACCAGTTACAATCTGCAATGATGACTTACCTGCCGACAAACTCCAGCGACGAGGGGTGCCCATAAATTGCGCAATATCCCAGCTGATGTGGTTATCCTGTGAAGTGCAGCCCGGATCCTGAAAAAAAAAAAAAAAAAATTATAATAATAATAATAATAATAAATAAATAATAATAATAATAAAATTATGTACTAGCCACCTAAATATTGTTAATAATAATATACTTAACTAATTGTAATGCTTATTTGCTACAATATCAACAAGCACGTTTAACTAAGTGGTGCCCAGATTGCACGGATGTAAAAAATAACAAATATTTATCGAAATGTTATGTTAAATGTAAACTGCTATCGAAATGTTAAGTCACTTAACCCATTGCTATGATTGCTGTTATATTTATTTTTAATTCAAAACAAAAGCTGCTAATGTTATGCTAAACGGCTATCGAAACATTAAGTTATTTAAAACCCATAGCTATAATTGCTGTTATTTTAAATTCAAAAAAGTTGCTATAGTTTTAGTAATAAGTTGGATTATAGATAAATATATATAAAAAAAAAAAAAAAAGCTGCTATCTAAAAAAAGTCTGACTTTG